AATTGAAAAGAGTCAAAGATCCAATAACTGGTGAATGCATAAATAAAATGTGATATAGCAATACAAAGGAATACTATTTAACAATTAAAAATAAATGAATTACTAACACATTTTGCATCCCAAATAAACCTCAAAAATATTATTTTAAGTAAAAGAAAATAGCATAAGACTACATGTTCCATGATTCCATTTACATTAAATGTACAGAAAGGAGAAATTTTTAGACACAGGCAATAGATCAGTGGTTTCCTGGAGCTAGGGGGAAGGCATAAGGATTGTGTGCAAATAGATCCAGGGAAATTTTGGGAGGGATGGAAAAATTCTGAAACCGATTGTGAATGATTGCACAACTCTATAAATTTACTTAAAAATAATTGAATTGGGTGAAGAATATGAACAGACACTTCTCAAAAGAAGACATTTAAGCAGCCAACAAACATATGAAAAAATGCTCATCATCCCTAGTCATCAGAGAAGTGATCAAAAACACAATGAGATAACATCTCATACTAGTTAGAATGGTGATTATTAAAAAGCCAGGAAACAACTTTTACTACACTATTGGTGGGAGTGTAAATTAGTTCAACCATTGTGGAAGACAGTGTGGCGATTTCTCAAGGATCTAGAACCAGAAATACCATTTGACCCAGCAATCTCATTGCTGAATATATACCCAAAGGATTATAAATCATTCTGCTACAAAGACACATGCACACATTCGTTTGTTGCAGCACTAATTACAAAGGCAAAGACTTGGAACCAACCAAATGCCCACGAATGACAGACTGGATAAAGAAAATGTCGCACATATACACCATGGAGTAGTACTATACAGCCAGAAAAACGAATGAGTTCAGGTCCTTTGCCGGGGGCATGGATGAAGCTGGAAACCATCATTCTCAGCAAACTAATGCAAGAACAGAAAACCAAACACCGTATGTGCTCACTCAGAAGTGATAGTTGAACAATGAGAACGAATGGACACAGGGATGGGAACATCACACACCGAGGCCTGTCGGGGACTGAGGGGCAAGGGGAGGGAGAGCATTAAGATAAATACCTAATACATGTGGGGCTTAACACCTAGATGACAGATTGATAGGTACAGCAAACCACCATGGCACATGTACACCTATGGAACAGACTGGCATGTTTGACACATGTATCCCAGAACTTAAATTTAAAAAAAAAAAAAAATTGAATTTTCCCATTAGAGTGACTGAATTTTATAGTATGTACAATATATCCTAATAAGGCTATTTAAACAAAATCAAGGAATGGCAGTATGTGATCATTATTTAAAATACAAAGGTAAATGCCATGAGTAAGTCAGGGGCAAGACTGTTGGTAGAAAAGATTAAAAGAGGAGTCATTATTTAACCAAAAAATCTTTGTATGGTTACTTAAAAATGTATATAAAATAACCTGTATACAAAGATGTGTCACTTTTATAAAAATTAAAATACTTTTAAAAGTATTCTCTACAAGCTAAAAAAAAGATTTTGGGGTACAAACATATATGATAAAACTAAAATTACAGTTAGAGAAAGGGCAAAAATTATCTAAATACAACCTAATGGTTACCTATGGAGCAGGGAAATAGAAACACACCAGCGCTTCAGTGGTATTAATAATGCTCCATTTCTTAAATTGGGCAGTGGGCTCAAAGTTCATAGATGACTCCTTATTATGTCTTCTAACTTGTGTTTCAGGTATTCTTTTGGTATGCTTAGATATATCATAATCAAAAAGAGAAAGTACTATTTTGAAAATTGTCTTCAAAGCTACAAATAATGGCTCTGCAAAATATAATGTATAACAAATCACAGTTCACTTATAGATCATAAATGCAAATGATAAAATCTAAGAGGGTCCAAAAACAGTTAAAAATTAAGTACAGCTACCATTTATTCACCATCTATAATGCATACATTATCTCTAACCCTCCTTTCAACTCTACAAATATTCCTCATTTATACCTAACAAAATGAGGCTCTGAGTTTTACTGCATGTGCCCAGAACCACACAGCTTTTTAAGTGAGGAAGTCAGGATCATTAAGCATTATGCAAATACTATTTGTCAGTCTGTTTCTAATAGTTACTCAACAACATTCAACAATAATGCTGCCTTGTTATTACCTAATATTTTGAAGTATTTGCATAATGCCTTGTGATTTGCTGAAGTACAAAATTCAGGACCAAGTTTTTTTGTTGTTGTTTTTTTGTTTTTCTGAGACAGAGTCTCACTCTGTCACCCACGCTGGAGTGCCGTGGTGCCATCTTGGCTCACTGCAACCTCCAACTCCCAGGTTCTCCTGCCTCAAGCTGGGATTACAGGCACATGCCACCACATCCAGCTATTGTTTTGTATTTTTAGTAGAGATGGGGTTTTGCCATGTTAGCCAGGCTGGTCTCAAACGCCTGACCTCATGTGATCCACCTGCCTCTGCTTCCCAAAGTGCTGGGATTACAGGCATGAGCTGTAACCCAGCCCCAAGATACAATCTTTGTAAACTACATAAATAACAAAATGACAACTTCATGTTTAATTCTGATAACTAATAAATTTAACTTTAAAAAACACATACATTTGAAACTCTGCTATATAATCTTCCTTCAGGTTTTTACAATGAGACTACCTTATGGATAACAAAGTCCTGTAAATGTATCAATATAAGGAAATGCCAAAGATACACAACAGAAAGGTATATTAATGATTATAAATACTTTAATTCATCTTTCCCCATAAAAGTATCCATCTTGGGGCTGGGTGAGGTGGCTCACTCCTATAATCCCAGCACTCTGGTAAGCTGAGGTGGGCAAATCTGGTAACCTGAGGCCAGGAGTTCAAGACCAGCCTGACCAACATGGTTAAACCCTGTCTCTACTAAAAATACAAAATTAGCCGGGCATGATGACACATGCCTGTGATCCCAGTTACTCAAGAGGCTGAGGCAGGAGAGAATAGCTTGAACCCAGGAGGTGGAGGTTGCAGTGAGCCGAGATCAAACCACTGCACTCCAGCCTGGGCAACAAGAGCGAAACTTCATCTCAGCAACAACAAGAACAACAACAACAACAACAACAATAACAACAAAAAAGGATTCCTCTCAGTTCTACTCTCTGCACAGTGAAAACTAGATTATTCATATATTTGTATATACTCTAAAAGACTGAGATGCAACTAAGAACTCAGCCTAGGGATAATGCTAGAAGTAAAAATGTTTCACAGGTCATTTTTATTTCAACTGCCAAAATGAAAAAAAAAAAAAAAAAAGATGCCAAGTGACTTCAGGTAATAAGAGGCAGAAAACTGGCTTTCAGTCATTTATTTTGGCTACGTAAGTCACAGATGATTTAAAATCTAAAATCTCTAGTCTCAGATCACTTTAAAAAAAAGTTTCATAAAGATATACCCACTCCTACCAACCAGCATCATCACAGATAGATAACATATTGGGAATGTAATGGAGAGGCAGAGGTTAGATGTCAAAAATAAAAAACAGTAAAAGCCTTGTGAGCCACACTTAGATAACGAAGAAAAGAACAGGGATAACTCAGATCATGCAAGGAGGAAACACGTTCGTTTCACTCCTTTCCAACCCATCTCTCTACTCTCCAGGGGTGGCTGTGTGGTGTGTCTGTCTGTCTGTCTCTCTCTCTCTCTCTCATTCTGGTTAACTAAAGAGATTTTAGGTTGCAATGGAAAAACATATTGAACACTTAAATGTAGCCCTCTAATTTCCCTAATACATACTTTTCACAACACATGCATATATCCTAGTAATGTTAGCCTATTCATGAGAGTTGAAATGGTTGGTTATTTACAAGTGACTTTACACAAATAAAAAACAAGTTAAAAAACTATTACATATATGAACCCATACAGGACTATCATTTCAATCAGTATTTCCCAATACTTCTTAAAGCAATAGTTCAACAAGGTACTCCACAGAAAAATAATGGTTTCATGGTCAAGTCATAAAGGACAAATCACACGAGGTACTTAAGAGTGTAAGAAATTCTGAAATGAAGAAACTTGCTTAACTTTATTATCCAGCTGTTCTCAAATTTACTAAGCTTATGAACTCTTTTTTTCCCCCCAGCACCTATTAATATCCCATAGAACATGCACTTAGGAAACGCTAACCCTAACCTAAAATATACTATGTAAAGCATTATACTTAATCCAGTAGCATAGTTGTTAAAATGTTGCTGCCTTTAAAAAAAAAACTAAAATGAGGCCGGGCGCGGTGGCTCACGCCTGTAATCCCAGCACTTTGGGAGGCCGAGGCGGGTGGATCACGAGGTCAAGAGATCAAGACCATCCTGGTTAACATGGTGAAACCCCGCCTCTACTAAAAATACAAAAATTAGCTGGGCATGGTGG